GTAGCGGCGATTATAAAATCGAGAATCGAAGTTTAAATTAAAGACTTGTTCGGACTTAGCTCTCGCTTCGACAAGCTATTAAGCTATCATATTTTAATAGTTTTCGATGCTAAAGAAAACGTAAAGGTTTTTTAAAGTAAGCTTATTCTTGTGAACGCTTTAACTATTAAACGTTTAAGTCGAAATAAAGAAAGCAAACTAAACTTTTTAACGGCGCAAATTCGCAAACAACTTATCTTTCGCAATTGCTTTAAAGTAGCGATAAAGACTTTAAAGGTTTTTATTAATATCGACGGTATAATTAAAAGCAGATCTTTTTTCGATAATAGATTTAAAGTCAACGTAATAAATAAAAAAGTGGCTAAGATAGTTAAACTACTTATTATAACGGATCGAGCTTTAGTTTATACTATCGTATCGAAAGATCTTTATAATTTCGATAAGTAGATAAACGACGTCGAAGTCATTATTAGCGAGATCATTAATTACGCTGATTTTTTTATTATTAATAATAATAGTCACGAGGTTATCTTAAGTATGCTTTTCTTTTTGGAATATTAACTTTCTTTTTTTTACTTCGATAATAATACGATAAAGGCTTCTTTTTAAAACTACGATCGATTTACTTAAAAATAAATTACTATTATAAAAAACAAGTCGGATTTGGTCGAAGACTCGAGAAACTAATAGCTAGTATGCAAGCTAAGATAGATGTTAAGTTAAAAAAAAGCTTAAAAGGAAATTCCGCTTGTGAATTATAGTTTACGAGTAGATTGATATAAAAATAATAAAATTATAAAAAAATAATTTAATATTAAATAAAGCTTATTAAAATCAAAAATATTAAAAATATTTGCAATTAAACTCGATAAATCGGAAAATTTTATGTTTATTATCGATAACGATAAAGACCTTTTAAAAAAGAATATAATAAAGGTTAATACGATAAATAAAAAAAAAGCAAAGAAGGTTAAACCGATGGATTTAAAAGTATCGGATAAAGAGATATTTAAAAGGATCGACGATTAGTTTAAGCAAGATAAGAAAGCGAGACTTTTTAAGCTTAAAAGACTTTTTTCGGAATACTTTATTAATAAGTTTTTAAACTTAAAAGTTAAATCAAGATTAACGAAAGAACGATTCGAAGCATTTACGATTAGCTTTTAAGTTACTTCGAAAGAAAGAGAGCTACTTTATTAATGCTTTTTAAATCGAAAAGAAGCGATAGCTTAAGATTTTACTTATTTTAATTAAGTTTAAAAAGAAGTCATGCTATTTTAAAAGATTAAGACGGTGCTTTACGAAGCTTAGCAAAAAAAGACGTTTATAATATCAAAAGCTTTGCAAGAAATAGTTATTATTATGCTAAAAGAACGATTAAAGCAAAAGGTTTTCGAACTATATTAAGGCTTTTACCGGAACAAATAGTTTATTATAATAAAGAAAAAGAAAAGAAAATACAAGTTGATTATTGCTATAATTAAGATGAATTGTATTACGATCAAAGACGCTAATATTGCTTTAAACGTTAATTAGTTTTCGAACGAATTTGCCGGCTTTACGATAGCTATACTTTTAGATTTTTTTTTTAAATACGATTAATTCTTTTTTAACGTTAAGTTTAAAAATATAATAGCTATTTAAACGCTTATCGGACTGCTTTGAATGACTCGGATACTTATAAAAGCTATTAATTCGATCGCTTAATTCGTTAAAGTCATTTATAAAATCTTTATAAATTACATTTTTAACGTTTGCTTGCTTTATATAAATAACGTAAAAGTTAAAAGATCGCGATCTTTTTATAATTACGAAGAAGTTTTATTCGGAATACAACGATTTGTTTTAAAATATATTTAAAATATCGATAAAGTGTTTGTAAAGTTTAAAAGAGCTAAGACGACCGTCGGAACGAAGTCTTAAATTTTAATATTGCATGCTCGGCTTTAACATCGTTAAATTCGTTACGGATAGCGAAAGACGCTACTTTTAGATTGCTAAAATTAAAAAGATATTAAAATAATTTAAGTGCGAAGATATATCGGAAGCTCGAGCTTTTATTAAGATCGTAATTTATTATAGAATTTAGATTAAAAACTTTTTTATAATTGCTGCTTTAATCTACGCGACGATAAAAAAAGAAGTCGAATTCGAGTGGTTAAAACTTTAATAAAAAGCGATAAAGCTGCTTAAGAAAGCCTTGCTTTTTGCTTTCGCTTTTATTAAGATCGATTATAGTAAGAAAAGAAAGAAAATTTACTTAACGATAAACGCTAGTCTTAAAAAATAAAGAGCAGTATTATAGCAAAAAGACTTTAATAAAAAGCGATATCTTATTAAGTTCGAGAGTAGTCTTTAAAACTTTGCTAAAAGCAAATACGACGCGATTAAGCGAGAATGCTGCGGTGCTTGAAAAGCTATAAAAAAAATAAAAAGCGAATTATATAAAGTTTATTTTATTTTAAAAACCGACGCTAAAGTATTAATTAATTAATTTAACGGGTTAACGAGCGATTTGCTTAAAGCTTTCGTTACGAATTAAATTGCGTAGATAAGATTAATAGACTTTAAAGTTAAGCATATCTTTAAGATTAAAAATACGATAGCGGACGGTCTTTTTAAAAGAAAAAGAGAGCATCTTTTAAATATTAAAAAAAGAGAAGAAGAAGATATTGACGATTAAGTTATTAACGAATTAAGCATTGTTTTAGTATTTTCGATTAAACGACTCGTGAACTATAATTCACGAGTTAAAAAAAGAGTTTTAAAGCACGATTATTCGCTCGATTTTAAGCTCGTTGCTTAATTCTTTATTACTTTTAAACGCTTTTTTTCGATTAAGACTTACGACTTTTAAAAATTCAAGAACAAAGTACTTAATTACTTAGTTAAAGATAATTACTTTTACAAGCGAGCGGATAATTTTTACTCGATCAAGCTAGTGATCGACGGAACTTAAAGACGCTATATAGCTATTTCCGACGCTTATCGAGAATCCGGATATAAAAAAGCTGAATCAATTTATTACCGCACGTTAAAACTCTTTTTTTAAAATAAATGCTACGAAGATTATAAAGCTTTCGTTTAAAGCTGTAAGCTTTATTAAAAACGCAAAGCTAAACGAATAGAAAACCTTTTGTATTCGACTTAGCTTACTTAGATATAGTTAAAAGTCAGCTTAAACGTGTTACGAGTACTTATTACCGATAAAAAGATAACTTGCTTTGTATTAGTTAAAAAAGATCTGTTTAAATAGTTAAAAAAGCGATTACTTCGATCAGCTAACGCCGAATCTATTATTAAGTTCTTTTAAAAAGATATCGTTTGCCGTTATAGACTATTCGAAAGATTAATTATCGATAGAAGACTCGAAAACAAAGCAGTTGCTAAAGCTTTCGTTATTAAATACGAGATGAAAAAGGTTTAAATCTCGAGTTATAATTCAAAAGCTAATAAAATGATTAAGAAAAGATATAAAGATATTTTAAATAGCTTATTAAAGGTTATAAATAAAAGATTTAAAAATTAAGTTCGCAAATTTAATAAGATGCTCTTTGTAGTCCGGATATCGATATACGCATTTATTAGAGTTACTTTTTTCTTTTTAAACTACGGACGAGAAGCTGAGTTATCTTTAGAATCACGATAGTTAGTTTAAAAGTTATTACTATAGCAAGAGGTTCGATCCCGCGCTAATCTGCTTGTTATAAAGTTTAAATAATTAAAACTTCGAGATAAAGATATCGACGAGATTATTTTAAAGAAGAAGCGCTATCGACTTATTATTAAAGCTATTTAAGAACGAGTCAAAGTCTTAAAGTCGGAATTTATTAAAAAGAAAGACTTAGTACTTTTTTACGACGTTAAACGCAGCATCGATATGTTTGCGGATATTAAATTAGATTATAAGTAGCTAAGACTTTATATCGTTTTTAAAGCTTACGATAAAGGATATTACAAGCTTTAAGAAACCGATAAGATTGAGCTTAAAAGCACTTTTGCAGCTAACCGCTTTAAACGATTCTACCGCTGTAATTAAACTTTTTTTCTTTTTAATAAAAACGACGAAAAAGAAAAGGAAGAAGATTCGAGTTCTTCGGACAATTCAGACTTTAATAAATACGAGCATTTCGACGACGGCAAAAGTAAACTATTCAACTTAAGAGTGATCTTTAAACTTAAGTCTATTAACTTTTAAATTATTTTTTTAACACTTTCGAAAAAATAAAAACTAGCTTATAAAACTGTTTCTTAGTTTATTTTTTTACTTTGTTTTTCTTGCTTTCTTATTTTCTTTTTGTTCTATACTTATTCTATAAGAGGACGTGCCTTTAATGATTACTCTTTTTGTTTTAATAAAAAAGGTATTTCTTACGTTTATTCTTTTACTTTTAGACTTGCTTTTTATTATATTCTTTGTTCTTTCTTTGTTCTTTTCACTGTACTAGCTATTTACTTGTTTTATATAGATTGTTTTTATTGTTTGATTGTTTTTTATTTGTTTTGAACTTACACGGCTATTTTTTATTTCTTAATCGGGATTGTTCTTTTGTTTTAAGCGTGCTTAACTACGTGTATTCGAAAGTGAACTGCTGTTAAAAAGAATAAGCTTTTTTTACAAATATACTTATATAAAAAAGCTTTTTCTTTTTTCTTTTTAACATTTTCTCTTTTTATATAATAATAATTATAATAATACTATTATTACTTTTTCTTTATAATTATATAATATTATATTAATATTAACGACTTTAATTATCATTTAATTAATCATTATTACTATCAGCTTTATTCCGTTATTTTATGTTTGACTCGTAAACCGTAGTTTACGAGTCAAATATACTTTTTAAGTTAGCCGCCGCTAAAAGAAAAGCTTTTGTCCGGGATACACTTTTTAGCTTATTAATAAGCGAAGAGCAAGCTGCTTTAGCTCGATAATCGAGTTTCGAGTTGAAGTTCGAAAGACGAGTCATTAAGACTTTCGATAAGTTCTTTTAGACTTACTGTTGGATCGCCGGTAGCGATCTCTCGTAATATATTCGTAAAAGTCGTGACGTCGTCAAAGTACTTGCAATTGCAAAACACTCGGTGGTAAAATACTCAATTGTTGCTTGTTGATCTTCTGGTTGATTGTGTTCTACAAAAGCTGACTCCTTTTATACAAATAAGAAGGAGTCACGCGTACTAGCTAAATACTAGGTTTACAAGCAAGTTAGGGGGGTCCCCGGACCTGTGACAAGCTAAGCGAAGCATACCTAGTGGCCCGTGAACCTTGGTTCACGAGTGAGCTCCCCCCAACTACTATTTACTAGCTAAGGTCGATATAAATATACCGACACCGGCAAAACTTTCTTTGGCAAACAGTGCTTTGCCAACTATTATATCGACCGAAAAGAAGGAAAGTAATAATAAAAAAAATTCAAACGCAAGGAACAAAGAAAATCCTTCTTGAAACAAGCCCCTTCCTTTTCCAAAACCCGTCACCTTGCGAAGTGCTCACAGTGCTCTCCTCCGTATTAGCAGCCTTGAATAAAACACTCGTACTCGTTCTCAAGGTCGTCGGAATCAGCTTTGCCTAAGGTTTGAGAGGAGTGCTGAAGAGAGTGCTGAGAAGAGTGCTGATGCTGATCAAAGAGCTCGCTAGAGCTCGCGTACGCTTTGCTTGCCTTAGAAGGTCGAGAGCTCTCATTCTTAAGAAGAGGTTGAGTGATTTCAGTTGCAAAAGCAATTGCTCGGCGAATATCAGCAACTGCGGCGGTAGAGGTAGAGGCAGGGTTCATTCGCGCAATAATCGTCTCTAGCACGTTTTTACAAACTGAATACATAGATTGCATCTTAATTATTTAATACGAAATTTTCAACTTGCTTATAACGACTTGATTTTCATTGCATTCGATTCTTAAGATACGGTTTCTTTAAGAATCCGCTAGAACTAAATCAATAGCTCGTTGCGCTCGCCGCATAACTCGAAAAATAGTTCTCGTTATTTTATCTCGATCTTCCGCGAATAATAATAATATTAATAACGCCGATTATACACGGCTTTAAAACGCTATATCGCCGTCCAACTTTACTTAGCACTTTAAGAAAAGAAGAAAGAACGCTATTATCAATTTGCAGCTTTTTCCTTTCGTATTAAAACGAAAAGCACCGACTATTAACACGGCGACGAAAGCTATCGAGAGCTACTTCGACGACATCGACCGCGCGGTTGTTATTAAACGACGAGTTTAATAGCAATACGCTTCCGCTTCGAATTAGATTATAAACGATTAACTTGACTTCGAATTTCGATATTATACGTAAGAGTTTTTTAAAAGTCTTTTTACGTTTATGCGTACTTATTTATACGCAATTACCAGAGCAGCTACTTTTTTTCTCTTTTCGACCGCTCTTTATAATAGCGAGCAAACGGCTTTTTTTAAGTCTATCTTATAAGCAGATTCCGCGAAGCCTTCGAAGACTTTAAAAAACTTAAAAGCTGCCGCTTAATCGGCAATCGCTAAGCTATCTCGATCTTTTTTCGTAATAAAAATAAGTCTTGCAAAGACCCGCAAGCTTATAAGCTTTTAAGCTATTCGCAAGTCTTTTAACGAACAACTTAAAACACGTTAAGATAAGCGAGTCTTGATTCAAGTACTTTCCGCTATACTTTTAACTCGTTTCGATAGCTACGCCGCTCGCAAAGCTATTGCCGATAAACTAAACGGCGTCGATATAACTATTATTCTTCATTTTAAAGCTATTCGTATTAGTTAAGCACTTATTTCGATCAACTTTAAAGCGAAAGACTTTTTTATTATAAATAAAGCTAAAAAAGTATATTAAGAAGTTCTTAAAGCTACGAAAGCGACTATCTCGGTCAAATAGTATACGTACGCTATTTAAAAAGTCTTTGCTGAAATCAAAAGCCTTTTCGACGAGATTTTTAAAACAGCAGAGCATATCGACGAAAAGATCTTAACTTAAGTCGAAAGAGCTTCGATAAGCGTCCGCATTTTTTAGCACGGAGCCGACCCGGCGACCGGCTTGATCTATTAAATGATCTCTTTCTTAAAAGAGGTCCGCAGCTTTAAGTTGTTTAATTATAATAGCTATTTTCGATTGATCGATAAAAAGCAACTTATTAAAAAGCACGACCTTAATTGCTTCGGCTAATATAACCCGACTAAGTGCATTCGATACGCACGCTGCTTTTATTACGGCGAGCGACGAGACTAATACGACGGGCTCGACGGCAAAGATTATACGGCACCTTTTCGCTATGTAAATTGCTACGGCTCGTACGAAGCTAGTTATAAGAATTACTTTACGGCTCTTAAGCGAGTCAACGGTAAAGTGATCACTTTTATTAAAAAAGAACTAAGCGCCGTCCGACGATTAAAAGCTTAAGCTTACGCTATTGCTAATGCTTTTATAACGAAAGAAAACGAATCGACTTTAGCTTTTTAATTAAAGACTTTTGCTACCGGTGTTAACGCAGCTCTCTTTCGAAAAAAACGCGCTTTTGCGATATAAAAGTATAAGCGAGCGACTTCTTTTTAAGCCGTCTTTTTATAATCCTTTTTTTAAGCTTTTACGCAAGCTACGAGACTTTTGCGTAATACGGCTACGCGTAAGAACTTTAACAAAAAGACTTTAATAAATAGCGCTTTCTTTGCCGTAAACGAGAAAAAGGACACGCTAATAGCGATATCAAACTATTACGTAGATAACATTATTAGCTTATCTTCTTCGTTTATAAAAGGCTCGAGCATTATTATTAGTTAAGATGCTTAAAACAACTTTATATATTAAGCACGTTGATACGGCACCGCGGCACTCGCCGTAATCAATAGCCTTTTAAAAAAATCTAAATCTATTAAGCGAACGTAAGCAAAAAGCAGTTATATTATATTGCTTTACTTTACCTTTGCTATTCGGCAAATATTAACGTTATTTATGTTTAAGAGCTATATACGCACTCGAGCATTAAAACTTAAAACTATCCGTTTTACGATTGCTATGCTCCGATAAAATCGTAAAATAGTTAAGACGATGCTTAATACTTCGTTAAGCGATTACGAGTGATAACTTACGTGCGCAAAAGCGTAAGTCTTTATACTTAACAACGCCGTTTTATTTGCAATAAAGATCTTTTGTAAATCGATATAAACGGCTTCGCTATTTTAAACGTCTATCGGCAACTTTTAATAAACCCGATTATAAATTATATTATTTACTTCGTCTTTCTTTTTAAGTGCTTAATTAAAAAGGACTTTAATATATAACACGACATATTCGAATTAAAAGTTAAGCTTAAAAGCCGAAGAAAAGACTTTACGGCTTAGTCTAATGCTAATAAGATAGATTATATTAGATTCTCGAGCGACTTTATTTATAAAGCTAGTTACGTTTTAAACTTAACTTTTTTAAATATCTCGTTTGCTTAAACGATAATTCGCTTCGATTTCTATTTAAGCTTAGACTACGAGACTTAAGTCACGACTATCTTTAGCCGAAAAGTTGTTTTTTTAAAGCGCTTTTAATATTAAGTACCGGACTAAGACTTCGAGAAATTCGCTTCGCTTATAGCGCTAAGCGTAAACTAGCTCTTCGATTCGTAAACGATACACTTTATCGAAGAACTCGATTAACTTGCGATCAGCTTAATTATTGCTTTTAATTTTGCTTTAAAAGTTGCGAAACAGCTTGTTCGAAAAAAGCTAACGGCTGTATTATAATAGACGGCAGACTGCTAAACAACGTATAAGAAACACTTAGTAGCGCGCTTTGTAATATACGACGGAAAATCGATTTAAAAAACGCGAAACTAGCTCGTTATAATTAAGAAAGCTAAAAGGGCTTATTAGACTTACGTGATCGACGGAGTGAAATCGGATTAAAACTTATATAAAGTCATAAGCTAGCATAAGCTCACTCCGAATTTGAAATCGCTTTTTTTAATAGTTAACGACGAAGCTATCGAAGATATTAAAAAAAAAGCGGACGCGTTATAAAAAAGCATTTTTAAATAGTTTAACGCCGCCGACGACTTCGATTATAATCTACTCGCTAGTTGAAAAAGCATTAGCCGGCTCTTTTAAGATACTACGGTGTTATTAAAAGAAATAAAATCTTACGTAATCGAAGTGATAAGCACTTTACTCGAGACGGATAAGATCATCGTACGATTGCTTAAAGCATATTAGCAATACGTTTATTATTTCTTTTATAGCTCTTTTAATAAGTGCTTAGCTTTTTATTATTTCTCGGATGCATAAAAGCTCGCTAAAGTCTCGATAATCTTTAAAGTAAAAAAAAAAATAAGACTTTTATCCGCTTTTAGCGATCGATTGCTTTGTTTTCGTGCATCTTTAAAAAATTAAAGCGCATCGTTATAAAGAGAATTGCGTAGATTGCTTTTATTAACGACGTTTTTAACTTATAATACGCGAGAGCTTTTTTACGACGCTTTATATTAGACTTCGCTTCGTGCTTAATATACGATATCGAATCCGTACTTACAATTAAATATTAAGTTATTATAGTTATTATAAACGTTTAAAGAGCTTTCGATGCGGTCTTAACCCGTCGCTTTCTTAAACGCATAACGGAATAAAGCTAGTTATACTTATTGCTTAAGCTAATAGAATTTTTTCTTTTAAATCGCAAAATCAAAGTCCGATTAAAAAAAGAAATCACGGATACTTATAACGTAAAGTGTAGCACTTCGCAAGGATCTTCGTTATTATTAATGCTTTATATGCTTTACTTAGCTAAGCTATTTAATTAAGACCGGACATTGCGTTTCGAATACGTTAATGATATTTGCTTATATCGCGTTAATTGCACTTTCGATCGAAACATCGCTATGCTTTAAGACGATATCAATTTTATTATTAAGTAAGATAACACTTATAAGATCGCTTTCGCTTTAAAAAAGATCGAGATAATGCATTTCTTTCGTAAGAAAAGTACGTATGCTTTTCTTTTCGTAATCGATATTATAATTATTCCGTATATTATTACGAGTCCGAAAGACGAAGACATACTTGCGATACGATAGCTTAAAGTTTAGTTTAACCGCAAGCTAAAGTTCTGTCGATACGTTCGAAAACGAGCGGTTAAAGTTAAGAAAATCGCTTAGCATATCCGCAATCTCGTTAAAATAGTTTATAATCTTTTTACGGCTTTATTACGTAAAGTAGTTATTATTTGCGTATTGCTTTCGATGCTTTACAGCACGGAAGCGTAATACGTAAAGCGCTATCGTTTAATTTGCAAGTCCGAAAGACTAGAAGTTGTTAGCGCTCGGATCGGAAAGATAATTGACTTTATTAATAAAACGATAACTTTCGCGACGCGCGAAATACTTTCGATTTAAAGAACGATATTAACGGCAACGCTCTTTCGAAATGCCGAGCTTTTTTCTAGCGCTGCGGCTTTAAAAGAAGCTAAAGCTAAGTTTGCAATAAGATTAAAAACGGTAAACGATAAGCACTTATTAATTAGCCGGATACTTTTACGGATTTAATAACGCGGTCGTAGCGCGGAGATTATTAAGATCTTCGAGATTAAGATTTAAAAATTAAGAACTCTTTTCTTAAACGTTCTTCGCTTTCGCTTCGTTTCTCCGTACTTTATATCGAAGAGCAAACGAGACCCGGCGGACGGCAAAACGAAAAAAAAAGTTGCTATTGTATTCGAAGCATAATAGCAATAGCTTTCGTTAAAAGATATTACGATCTTTTCGAACAAGTTAGAATAATACGACTAAAGCAACCGATTAATAAGCTACGAGTACGTAGTCTATCGAAGACGGCAAAAGATAAGCTACGAATATAGCTTTATTAACGATTGCTTTTACGTTTTTAATACAAAAGCGATAAGAGTATAAAAAGGCTTTAAACGAGTAGTGCACGCTTATCCGACGGCGAAACGGATCTAGCTTTCTATCGATAATATATTAGTTATTTAGTGTTTTCGCGGAAATGCTTTTTTATTATCGTAATAAGCGTTTTTAAACGTTTAAAAAGTAATAAAAACTCGAGACGTGCGAATACGATAGTCTTTAAAGCATATAAGTATTAAAAAGAACGAACGAGTAGATAAGCTTGCAAACTTAAAAGCAAGGAAACCGGATTAAGATATTAGTTTAGCATCGCAACTTACGATTAACGGCATCCGCACGCTCTTTTGCGATATACGAAATAAAGCACGAAAAGCTTAATAGAACGTAAGCTCTTTTAAGCTTTTACGCTCGTATCGGAAATAAAGCTTTTTATACTTAATCAAGCTTTTCTCGGAGCTAAAACTCTTACGATATATCTTATATAAATTACTTGCGATTCGAACTACGCACGGAAACTTTACTTAGTATCATATTAAGTTTTAACATTACGACGTTAACTTAAAGTATGCTTGCAATAAACGCAAGTCTTTTTTATATATAGCTTTTTGCCGATTTACGCAACGACGCTTCTTTTCTTAGCTTTATAAGACTCGACCGCGAACCTTTTCGAATACGATCTCGAAAGCTTACGACTTCTTTAAAAGTCTTTTTAATAATCCGGCTGATTTTCAAGCCTTTTTAACTACTACGGAGTTTTACTTTAAGCACTGCACTCGATAAAAGTGCTACTTTAGCTAACTAATATTGCTTCGGTAAAGAGAACGGAGTACGCTCCGCTTTACTTAAGCTGTAAAAGCTCGTTAAATCAATCGCGTCATAGGATTAAGACTTTAAGATAGCGTAATGCGCTCTCGAAGGAATTCTTTTTAGCATTAATATATTATATTAGGTTTTCTTTTAAAGTTTAAGCTTTCGTATTTACTTTTTTTTTTTATACTCGGCTGACCTCGGTCCGGCCTTGATTCTTATCGCTACGCGACGTGAACAGCTCGCTTTTAGCTAGCTATAGCAGTTTGCATATGCTTAACTCTTTTTTTTATAGTTTTCCTTTAATAAAAGGTCTTTTTCTATATGATCTATCTTATCTATAAAGGAAAGGCGTATGCGATAATAGCTTATGCTACAACACTTTGAATTGCTTTCTAAGGCTTTCTTGTATATAACTCTTTAGCTTAGCACGTCGCCGTACTTTATAAGAGGTCCTAAGGCGGCAAGCTTCGCCTGCTACCCGCCCGACGTAAATAAATACAATAACAACAACAACTACAAACTGAATACAGCTTGTCGGCGAGACTCTTATCGTCCTTCAGACTTGGTCGTAGCGAGCTCTGAATGCCTTTGAGCTCTTTAGCGAGTTTTTCGAAGCACTCGCTAAGCGAGTTCCTTAGGTTTTCCCTTTTGATCAATTGCAATGAGATTTCTTCTTAACGATCGTATTTAGCTTGCCGCCGTTAGTCAGTTTTAAAATGGTCCTTTATTGCAATAGCGTTTGCTTTGAAGGTAGGTAGCTTGGCCTTGATTACGTAATTGTAATAAAACCCAATTGCCTCCCTTGCTAGCATAATAAGGAAAGCAGCCAAGTAATCGTCAGTTGTCAACCCGTATCGGTACGCGTGATCGGCAAAAATCTTGAGCCGAATATTAAAGTCGTTCTTAAGACTTGAATATTTTAATTCCTTAAAAAAACTCTTTGCAAATAAAGCTAACTCTTTCGCCCTCGAGTGTGGGTCCGCCGTTCCGAGCTTAAGAAAATCGTCGTCATCGTCAAGGGCTAGGGTGCCGTAGGTGTGCCTGGCTAGCACTCGGGTCGAAAAAGGAGTGCTGGTAGGGGGTCGGTTTAGCCTAGGTCCGCCGGGGGGTTCGTATCCTCGTCCAGGGTCCTTTAGCGGCTCATTTCCTTGTCCTTTTGTCGGGCCACCGTGTCCTCTTTCTTTTCTTCCGTGCCTATCCCACTCGTTTCCTTCTCTATTCTTTCTTTTTGGATCACCGTCCGAGCTATTTGGATCGCTAAGGTCGCTAGCAAGAGCTTGCTCTCTTTTCTGCTCGTATCCTTGGGCTCGGCTTTAGCGGTATCTATTGCTTTGGTTTTGCTGCGAACCAAATCGAAGATCTTTACGTTGTCTTTGATAAGAGTTGCTCGGAACCTCGTCTTGCTGCTTTTTAGCGCATTCTTTAAGTGATAAAATCGCTGACTGAAGTAATAAAGGGACGGGAGACGGAAGAGATTCGCGAAAACTGCGAGAACTGCGCTTTGATGATTGCCTTGCTGCTTTAACTGCCTCGAGCTCCTCTTTGTGCTTTATAGCTTCTTCGATTCTCTCTTTACGTTGTTGCACGTCCTTCGTAATTGTTAAATTGCGTAGATCATCGAGGTCTCGCGCAATAGCGTCTTTTTAACGTCGGAGCTCTTCGTATTCTTCTCGGAGTGATTAGCGGAGCGAATTTAAAGTCGAAGGTAGAGGTTCGTCGATGATTCTAATAAGACGAGTAAGAGTAAAAGGTAGAGGTTCGTCGATGATTCTAGTGAGACGAATAAGGCTTGATTGATCAGGAAACCTCTCGACCTGCTTCCTTTGAATTTTAGCGACTTCTTTAGTTTGTCGATTTAAGCGGGCGATTGTAATATCGTTCCACTTAAAATCAAATCCTTCGATTGCTGCTTGCTGAGCTCGCTGCTCTTCTTAAGTCTATTAGTGCTCTTTCTCCATTTGTATAATTAAGGCTAGTCCATTAGCGTAGCCTTTTTGCTTTGGAAGGTACTAAACTCCTTTAGACAATAGGTAATCCTTTAGCTTAATAAGCAAGGTAAATTTGCTTCCTCGATGGCCGTGAGCTTGTTTAGCGGCCAACGAAAACTCGTCCGCGCTCTATTTAGCAAAGGCGTATCGGAATAAAAACTAAAGCTCGTAGTCTTTTAATCCCTTATTCTTTATGTTCAAGAAGTCTTCGATAATTAATCTAGCTTTTATGTGACTTTCTAGCTTCGAATACGGTAGTGAATCGAGGTTAAAACCGAGGTCCGACGTGTCTTCGTTTAGTGCTTCGAAGGTATTCCGAGTGCTTGGGTCGTTCGGTAGCATTAAAGGAGGTTCCGCGGGTCTCGAGAAAGGGTCCGTAGCTTTTGCTAGCGTTCCAAAAGCTCCTTGTCTATTGCTTTCGCCGCTTCGGGGGTCGATTGATTGCATGTTGCTTAATTGGGGTTCCTTTGGCTTCGAAAGGCGTATTATTATGCTGTGTGTAGCTGGCGTGGCTTTATAGCGTTGATGATATTGTTGTATTGCTGTGTGTAGCTAGCGTGGCTTTATAGCGTTGATAGGTTGTATATAAGTGACTTGGTTCGGAATCACTTTTCCGTAGAAAGGTGTGGTAAGGCGGTAGTATAAGAAAGCGACTTGGTACGGAATCGCTCTTCCGTTGTAAAGGTGTAAAGGTATCGAAGTGTAAGAAAGCGACTTGGTACGGAATCGCTCTTCCGTTGTAAGGGAAAGGTATCGAGGTGTGAGAAAGCGACTTGGTACGGAATCGCTCTTCCGTTGTAAAGGAAAGGTATCGTAATAAGAGGTAAGTGATTTTCATTGCGGTTGTAGGTTTCTTATAGCGCAAACTCACTACTTCTATACTCTTCGAGTAAGTAGAAGTAAAGTCCTAACTCTTCGATCGATCTTAGCTTCTTTGTGATTGAGTAACGCTTTCGTTAGCGATTAAACAATCACTGATCACAGTGTTGGATCGCCGGTAGCGATCTCTCGTAATATATTCGTAAAAGTCGTGACGTCGTCAAAGTACTTGCAATTGCAAAACACTCGGTGGTAAAATACTCAATTGTTGCTTGTTGATCTTCTGGTTGATTGTGTTCTACAAAAGCTGACTCCTTCTATACAAATAAGAAGGAGTCACGCGTACTAGCTAAATACTAGGTTTACAAGCAAGTTAGGGGGGTCCTCGGACCTGTGACAAGCTAAGCGAAGCATGCCTAGTGGCCCGTGAACCCTGGTTCACGAGTGAGCTCCCCCCAACTACTATTTACTAGCTAAGGTCGATATAAATATACCGACACTTACCGTTAAATAAGTAACTTTAATTAATTAGCTATGCTTAAAATAACAACTTCCGATCTTAATAACAGATTGAGTAAAAAAGACGACTTGATTTTTGTCGGTATATCCATATCGACCTTAGCTAGCTAGTAGTAGTAGGTGGGGAAAAGCTCATTCGTGAACCATGGTTCACGGGTCACTTGGCATGCCTCGCTTAGCATGTCAGCAGTCAAGGGACCCTTAACTTGACAAGTAAACCTATTAGTTAGCTAGTGTACGTGATTCCTTCTAATCATATAGAAGGAATCAGCTCCCTTGAGCCTTAAGGAGCAGACAGAATTCAGATACCTTATTAACCGAGTGTTTTGCAATTGCAAATACTTTGACGACCGTTACGACTTTACGAATATATATTCTTAATCGCTTAAAAGCAATCTAATACTGATTAATAGTTGATTTACTATTAAGTGATCAATCACAGAGAAGCTAAGACTCTATAGCGAGGATACCTTTTAATACGATACCTCTTTCTTTTTATAACGGAAGAGCGATTCCGTACCAAGTCGCTTGCTTATACTATCGAGTTCCTTATTCTTACGGAAGAGTGATTCCGAACCAAGTCACTTTCAAAACAACAACTTCAACGCTGTAAGAGCCGCGCTTGCTATATATAGCACTTTAACTAAATTTAAATCGACATACACATAAACAGACAACAACTATAGCCGACCGAGCAACTGGACTTTTAAGTAGAAAGTCTAGCCGACAAAAAGCAATAAAGTATTATACCTTTCGAGTCTTATTATTACTTACGGAACCCTTAGCTATTTAACTAAAAGAGCTATTATACTTAAAGCTCTTAAGCCTTTCGAAAGGACTAGACGACGAGATGTCGAGCATCTCATTTGACTTAAACGAGCTACTATACGCAAAGCTCGATAGTAAGATTACGGCTCGAGCAATAGTAAAAGACTTCTTAAATGCGAAGTATAAAAAGCTAAAGGATTACGACTTATAAAGCTTGTTTCGGCACGCTTTCTTACGCTAAGATTAGACGAGCTTTACGATGACGAAAGATAATACGAGACGAAGCTTTAAATTTGCTACTTTTATTAGCTTTAAGGAACACTTGCTGTTTAAAAGCGTATAGTGCTCTTTAAAGCAAAAGAGCTACGCTAATAGGATAGTCAAGCTCTTGAACGACGAGCAGCAGCATTAATAGACTTTCGAAGAAATAAAAGAGCAACAAGCAACACTTTTAAGCTTCGATTTAAAATGGACCGCCGAAAACCTTACGAACGACGACGATATTACACCTTAACCACCTTTACCTTTATCTTCGCGTAGTTTAAAAAGAAAGGAAAAGGAGACTTCAAGCAAAAAGGAAAAAAAAGAAGAGATTCGGAAGTTACGCGAAGAGTTTGCGAAGAAGAAAAGAGATATAAAGCAAAATATAAAAGTAATAGCAAAGCAAATAACGGAATTACGGATCTACGCTATACAATCTAACGAAGGGCTACGACGAAGCGCTTTAGCGTACTTATCTTTAATTTATCAATCGCTACGCAATACGCTAATCATATAAGAAAAGCTAAAATCACTTTAGCAGCTTTTAAACCTTCTTTTTAAGGGCTACAACCGAATTTTCGAAAAACCAAGACCAAGTAGCAACAAAAACGGTCTTGAGATTATCATCGAACTAAACAACGAACGAAGCTACGAGAGCTATACGCTAAAAGAAGACCTATTAAAACCTGAAAGCATTCCGAGCAAAATCAGCTCTTATTAAAGATAGCGTGCAGATTTCCGTGCTTAACCTTAGCAACTCGAGAAAAGGATCTAGCACTTTCGGACGTACCGATAAGCTTTTTAGATCTTTTAATAAGCTACGTATCGATAAAAAGGATATTAAAAGTATAAGAATCGCTAAGAGCGCGCTTAAAAGTACGGATATTATTAAGCTAAAGCTTTAGCCGGTGACTCGAATAGCTTTAGCGATCTTAACGATGACCGACGAAGCGAGAACGAAGGAAATTAGCAAAGAGATCGAAGCTACGGGTATAGAAAAAGTAGAAATAAGCTCTTTAAACTATTAAAAGGATTCGGAAACGGACTTTTAAAAGACTTCGGATTCGGAAATAAGCTTCTTAAAGACTTTAAAAGAAGACGGACCACCGGCAATTATATCGATAACCTTTTACCGATCAGACTATTAGTTAAGCAAAGCACGCTTGCGTACGGCATTCTAAGCGCTTTTAATAATAATAAAAACGATTTCCTTAAGCTAAAAGCAGCAGACCTTTACTTAAGAGTAAAAGAGTTAGCTTTGTTTGCAAAAAGCTTTCTTAAAGAATTCAAGTATTCGAGACCCGACGATGACTTTAAAACTTAATTAAGTATTTTTGCTAATTAAGCAAGTCGATACGGCTTAACATTCGACGACTATTTAGCAGCGTTCTTAATTATACTTACGGAAAAAGCTATTACCTTTTATTACAATCACGTTATTAAAGCTAAGCTTCCGATATTTAAAGTTAATGCTATTACGATAAAAGACTACTTCGAGACTAACCACCGGCGGCAAGCAAAATACGACCGCTAAAAAGAAATTTCGCTAGATTTAATCAAGAAAGAGAATCTAAGGACCTCGCGTAGCGAGTGCTTTAAGAAGCTCGCTAAAGAGCTTAAGGGCATTTAAAGCTTATTACGACCAGGCTTAAGAGACGATAAGAGTCTTGCCGACAAGCTGTATTCAGCTTGTAAAAACGTGTTAAAAACTATTATTATACGAATAAACCTTGCGTTTACTTTTACCGCCGCAGTTGCCGACATTCGCAAAGCTATTGCGTTGCAACTAAGACCTCTCGACCTCTCGCTAAAGCGAGTAGAGCTTAAGCGAGCTTTAGCGAGCCACACGACTACACTTGCTCTCAGCATAACATTTTAAAGGCTGACTCCGATTTAAACGAGGAATACGAATGTTTTATTCAAGACCGCTAATACTTCGAAGGTAAGAAAGCTGCTAAGGCTATTAAGAGTGAGAAAAGGTGTTTTGTTTATAAGAAGCTAAGTTGCTAGAGCACTAATTACACCCTCGATAAGCGCAAGGCTTTCGTAGCCAAGTTCCAAAGCTTTAAGGACGTTAAAAGGGTAACGAAAAGCAAATTCTTTTAATACTTAGCGTCGATCGAAGGCTTGTTATTTGTATTTACGAAAGAATTCGATCAGTTTATCGCAAGCTTATTAAACGAGCCGCTCGAATCGGGTAGTCACGCTAACATATCGGAAAGTTTTATAATTACTTACAGCACTTTTAACGCTAACGAAGTATATAAACAACTAGAGATTTAGACGGCATTCTACGCTTTTACTAGCTAAGTAAAGACTTAAAAGATGCTCGGGCAAGATCCGCGTGTGCCCGCGAGCAAGGCAAAGACTTATATAGCTTTTAAGTACTTTGAAAACGTGTTCATAAGCTTTATAATTAACAGCGGAGCAATTAATTTCTTTATCGTTAGCTTGCTTTAATTACGAGCACTTTAAAAGAAGTACTTCGAAGTCTAATTAAATATATCTCGAGCAAGAAAGAAGTCCGTCAAGTACGAGATTAGCTTTGCTACTTCTATTAAAGCAATTACTTTAAATACTCTTTTAAGTTAAGTGAAGTTTTACGTTATAAAGAGCGACGTACTTTTCTTATTCTTATTAGCTAACATAGACAAGCATAAAGTGATCTTAAATAACTTGCGGAACGTGCTAGTCTAAAAGAAAAAGGAAATACTAATAGTAAGGATGTTTAAGCACGTATAAATGCTATTAAGTAAAAAGCACGCTGCTACTTATTATAATACCGAAGGCGAGACCGTTTACTACTACTTTACAAAAGAGCAATTAAAGACTATCTATAAGCGTTTTAGCTACCTTTTAGCAAGTCGATTTACCGCTGTTCTTAAGAAGGCCGAGCACGAATTCAAGCGGGATTTGCTTTATAATATCTAAAAGTTTTGCTATTACTATTAAGTATTCGGACGCTTTTCGAAAAGGTTTAGTATTAGACTTAAAGATGATACTGACTTTAATAACACGGTATACGTCGATGTAATTCACTTTAACGGCAAGAACGTATTGTACGTCGTTTGCGACTTTAT